CCGGGGCGGAAACGGTGCTGGAGGCCGCTCGGGGCTCCTCTGGGCACCTCCCCCGGGGCCGGTTTTGTGAGGATGTCTCAAGCGAGGGCGCCGGTTTGGGATCCGTCGGCGGATCCACCGGATCTGTCCGGAAACGGTGCCGGAGGCCGCTCGGGGCTCCTCTGGGCACCTCCCCCGGGGCCGGTGCGAGGGCGCCGGTTTGGGATTCGTCGGCGGATCCACCGGATCTGTCCGGAAACGGTGCCGGAGGCCGCTCGGGGCTCCTCTGGGCACCGCCCCCGGGGCCGGTTTTGTGAGGATGTCTCAAGCGAGGGCGCCGGTTTGGGATTCGTCGGCGAATCCACAGGATCTGCCGGAACGGTGCCGGAGGCCGCCGGGGCTCCTCTGGGCACCTCCCCCTGGGCCGGTTTGGTGAGGATGTCTCCTTTTTTTTTTCCTCAAGCGAGGGCGCCGGTTTGGGATTCGTCAGCGGAAATCCAAGGGGGGCGGATCTGTCCGGAAACGGTGCCGGAGGCCGCTCTGGGCTCCTCTGGGCACCTCCCCCGGGGCCGGTTTTGTGAGGATGTCTCAAGCGAGGGCGCCGGTTTGGGATTCGTCACCGGATCCAGCGGATCCAGCGGATCCAGCGGATCTGTCCGGAAACGGTGCCGGAGGCCGCTCGGGGCTCCTCTGGGCACCTCCCCCGGGGCCGGTTTTGTGAGGATGTCTCAAGCGAGGGCGCCGGTTTGGGATTCGTCGGCGGATCCACCGGATCCACCGGATCCACCGGATCTGTCCGCCCTGGAAGACGCGGCTCAAATTTTTAGCCGCGTTTAGCCGGGACGTTGCTCTCGCCTGAGCGCGGTGCAAAAGTGTCTAAAATCATAAGTTTTAGCCGGGTTTAGCCGCGCGTGCTTCTCGCTTGGGCGTGGCTAGCGAGTGGCTAAACATGTTTAAAAACTTGGCAGTGTCTAAAAACATCGTGTCTAAACATGGCTATTCGTGGCTAAAATCGATTCACTGCCGTGGCTATTTCGTGGCTAAACGTGGCTAATATACAACCGCGACCCAGACGGGGAAAACGCTAAATATCGCTGCCCGCACGATCAAGCAGGTTGCCCCACAAAGACAAGCAAGACAAGACACACCCGCATCGCGCCAGGAGGAGGAAACGGAGGAGAGGGGAGGGAGAAGGAGCAAAAAGAGGACGAGGGTGGGGGAGGAAGTTGGACACGATGATGTCGAGCATAACGACTACGACGACGACGACGACGGAGAGGAATACGACGAAGACGAAAACGAATGCGACGACGACGACGACGGCGGCGACGGCGGCGGCGGCGGCGACGGCGACGACGACGACGACGACGACGACGACGAGGACGACGAGGACGACGACGACGGCGACGACGGCGACAGGAGGCAACAACCAAGGCAGTTGCAGATCTTTCGTCGTCGTCGTCGTAGCAGTCGCCGCCGCCGCGGCGGCCGCCGCCGCCGCCGCCGCCGTCGTCGTCGTCGTCGTCGTCGTCGTCGTCGTCGTCGTCGTCATTGTCTTCGTCATCGTCTTCGTCAATTTCATTGTTGTTATTCTCCTTCTGAACCTTATCATTATTATTCGTCGTCGTGCCCTTATTCCTCCCCTACGCTTTTTCTGGTCCTGATCCTCATATTCCCCCTCTCATCCGCTTCCCCCTCCACGTCTCTCCCTCCGTACCTTCTCGTGCTCATCCTCTGCCTGCTCCTCCGTCTTCCCCTTCCTCCTGCCACAGGTAACGGCCAAGCCTCATCTGTGTTCCACCGCTTCGGGAGCTTTGACACAGTCATTCGCACATGTTCGGATTTGAAAACATGCGTGTTTATTTCGTGTCTAAACGTGGCTATAATTTTCGCATGCGAAACACTCGCTCGCGCCCGTGACTAAACATGGCTAAACGTGGCTAAAAATGGTTAAGCGTGGCTAAATGTCATGCCGTGGCTATTTTGTGGCTATTCGTGGCTAAACATGTTTAATTCCGTGGCTAAAAATGTCTAAACATGTCTAAAACGCGTAAAATATACACCGCGACCATCACAACGCAAACGAAACATTGATAAACATTATGATGCGGCGGGACATGAAAATAGACCGACAGACATTTGGAAAATCGCTGACAGGTTCCACACCAGGGCGGCCCCCAGATAGCCACGAGGCTTTGTTTCCGGTGCGGAACGGGTGCTGGAGCCGCTCTGGGCTCCTCTGGCACATCCCCCGGGGCAGGGTTTTTGTGAAGGAATGTCTCAGGGTGCAGCGAGGGCGCCGGTTTGGGATTCGTCGGCGGATCCACCGGATCTGTCCGGAAACGGTGCCGGAGGCCGCTCGGGGCTCCTCTGGGCACCGCCCCCGGGGCCGGTTTTGTGAGGATGTCTCAAGCGAGGGCGCCGGTTTAGGATTCGTCGGCGGATCCAACGGATCTGTCCGGAAACGGTGCCGGAGGCCGCTCTGGGCTCCTCTGGGCACCTCCCCCGGGGCCATTTTGTGAGGATGTCTCAAGCGAGGGCGCCGGTTTGGGATTAGTCGGCGGATCCACCGGATCCACCGGATCCACCGGATCTGTCCGGAAACGGTGCCGGAGGCCGCTCGGGGCTCCTCTGGGCACTTCCCCCGGGGCCGGTTTTGTGAGGATGTCTTAAGCGAGGGCGCCGGTTTGGGATTCGTCGGCGGATCCACCGGATCCACCGGATCCACCGGATCTGTCCGGAAACGGTGCCGGAGGCCGCTCGGGGCTCCTCTGCTCCCCGCGCCGGGGGTGAGGATGACGGTAGTTCCACAGAAACTCCCTCAAATAAGCTTACGCCGCATCCGCCCACCCCTTGATGTAGTCGGGGACCTTTATTGCTGTTCTGGGGCCTTCTTGTGTCGACTCGGTTTTTTGGGGGGGCGGGCTCGGGGCTCTTCGGGGCCATCCCTGAGCTGTTCTAGGGGCCTTTGGGGCCGCTCAGAGGACGAATCTCACACGTCTGGAGACCCAGAAGAGGTTTGCGGGTTTATGTCGCAATGCATGCGTCCAGACACGCGACAAGGCAGAGGCTACAGCGTTACCCACCTTGTCTGAGCTAGGCCCTTACGCTGGTCCGCACCGGTGGTCGTTCGTTCCTTCCTTTCGTCTTCAGTGGGCGTTTCATCATCATCATCATCATCATCATCATCATCATCATCAACACCACCATCATCATCATCATCATCAGCATCATCATCACCATCATCATCACCATCATCACCATCATCATCACCATCACCACCATCATAATCAGTATCAGCATCATTACCTTTTCTTCCTCATCATGTTCTTCTTCCGTTCCTTGCTCTTTCTTCTATTCCCTCCTGTCGAGTTTGCTCTTGGGGTTCCCTGGGGGCGCAGAGCATCCGAGGGCGCTGAGGGATCCCGCAGGAGTCGGAGTCGCGAGGCGCCGGAGGCGGAAGCGGAGGCGGAAGCGGAGGCGGAAGAGAAGACGCTGACGCGCGCGGCGTGCGGGGGAGCTTTCGTGGACACGAAACATATGAGGAAGGGGCACGTTGAGGATCATCGAAAAACGAAGCGCCTGGGGACTGCAGCAAGCGTGGCAGCGCCGCGAAGGGAGTGGCCGATGCGGCGGAGCGGCTTTTGAGCGAGAGCTGACGTGCGCGGCGCGCGAGAAGAAGTTCAGGCCGGACCTCAGAGACTCTCTCGACTTATCCTCACCCGATGTTGCCCTCGCTTTGGCTTCGTCTTATGAGAGAAGCTGGCACGCAGGCGCGCGGCCGCAGGGGATCAGACGGCGTGCGGGCACGGCGAGGCGGGCCAGAGCAAGCTGAGGCACGAGAGGGCGCGCGAGACAGACAGGATAAGGAATGGGGAGGAGGAACGGTGGGTGGACAAAAGTGTCCACACCCATCGCGCCAATATGATACGACATCGAAGTGCGTCGAACAAATATCCAGAGCCCCCGGTCCCCCCAGCCCAGAGTTGACGGGCTGGGTGCGAAGCAACTCGCGGGGACAAAAGATGGACACTTCAACCTTGGGCTTGGGAACAGGGAGGGCGAGTCACATGTGTATCGCAACTGTCGTTGCCATCATGCCTGTGATTGTCTTCACGCTGTCGGCGTGGACATTTTTTGTCCCGGCACAGAAAGAGCACCACGCTGAGAAAGGGGGGAGGAGAAGAAGGGCCAGAGGGAGCTGGGAAGCGAGAAAGAGAGAAGGAGGGACGGGAGGGAGGAGAGAGGGGGAAGGAGGGCACGGAGAAGAGGGGGCCAACGAAGCGGAGGAAAAGGGAGGCATGTGGACAGGCGACAGGGGAGGGAGCGAGGAGAGAAGGAGTGAAGAAGTGATGGGGGCGAGAGTAAGCAGGAGAAGGGCATGAGCAGGAGGGGAAGGCACAAGTGGCGAAGCAGGAGGAGGAGGAGGAGGAGAAGGAAGAGCGAAAAGCGGAGGAATGACGGAGGAGGGAAGGGAGACGAGGGAGTGGGGAGAGGAAGGGGGGGGATTCTTCCTCCAGCTTCGCCGCGTCCTGCCGCTCCTCCTTTCTCCATCCCACAGGTCTCGTCTAACTCTTTCTCCTCCTCCATCCCCTCTCCTATAAACAACTCCTCCTTGTCGCATCCCCAGACGCGTTCATAGGCTGATCTGGGCACTTCGCTTCAGAACGCATCACCATGTATGATCATGAAGCTTGAAATTTTCAGCCGCTTGGAGGATGTAGAGCGGGCACTGTTCAAAATCAAGTTCTTGCATTGACGCCGTGCACATTCGTTTTAAAAGTTCGCGGCAGTTTCAAGAATAGAGGGCCGGTCGTTATCAAAATGGAGTTCTCGCTTCAGCGCCTCGCGCATCAGTATCAAAAGTTTGCAGCAGTTTCAAGGATGAAGGTTGGGTCGCATTCAACATGAAGCTATCGCCTTAGCGCCGCGCACAGCCGTCTTAAAAGTGTGCAACCTGCTTCAAGGATGGAGGCTGAATCCTTTTTTCAAAAGGTCATTATCGTTTTAGTGCCGCGCACGTTCTGCTTGAAAGTTTGTCACGGTATCGAATATACGGTCGGTTGAATTTCCAAGAATTGCGCTACGGTGCTTTGTCGCCATTACGGTTCAAGCCATTTACCCTTCCTTAAACCTCCTATTGTATTTTATCATCGCATTTCCACCCACATCAACCTGGATATCATGAGGGGTTATCAGTCGATTACTTGCGCTACGCCATGCAGCGCGAGATACGTGGCGTTGCATGCCGCTGCATTCTCAATATGTGCCACGATCACTCGTTCTGCAGATATCAGGGTGACCACAGGGACCTGCGAACTCCAGGAGTGTGGAAGTATCGGGTACCCAGATGTGTTCATGATGCAGACCAGGATGGAAGTGTCGGACGAAGTGCAACACCATGCTGGCCATGGGCGTCGTCCACGACGCTCGGGCCAGCTAACTCCTCCGGCCATGCCCCCATCGAACGGCACGGCACGCACGCCCCCGTGGGCCATGATGCCTCCATCGGACGGCATGCCCGCGGCAATGATGCCTCCATCGGACGGCATGCCCGCGGCAATGATGCCTCCATCGGACGGCATGCCCGCGGCAATGATGCCTCCGTCGGACGGCATGCCCGCGGCAATGATGCCCCCGTCGGGCAGCATGCCCGCGGCAATGATGCCCCCGTCGGTAATGCTGCCCCCGTCGGGCATGGACGGTGCAGCCATGCCGTCGGGGGACATGCCCCCTGCCGAGGCGGCTCCGTCGGTTGGCGGCGCCGCGGCCGCGGCGGCTCCCGGTGTCTTGTCCGCCACTGGCGACCCGCACTTGGTCAACGTGCATGGGGAGCACTTCGACGTGATGAGGCCCGGCGTCCATGTCCTCCTCCTCGTGCCCTTCCGAGCGAACCGGTCGGATGCGCTCCTCGCCGTTGAGGCCGACGCCCGGCGGGTAGGCGACGCCTGCGCGGACACGTACTTCATGAGCGTCAACATGACGGGAGCATGGGTGGAGTCCAAGGTCGCTTCGCTCGGGCTGAAGGGAGGCCACGGCCTTTTCTTCAGCGCTGGCACCAAGGCAGCCGGCACGGGCACGCCGTGGATGTCCTTCGGGGCGGTGTGGCTGAAGGTGCGGCACGGCCGCACCAGCACCGGCACGGCATATCTAAACTTCTTCGCCCGCAACCTGAGGCACGCGGGCCACATCGTCGGGGGGCTCCTCGGGGAGGATGACCACACGGAGGTGGCGGCTCTGAGCAGCGGCTGCAAGAAGACCCTCGCGCTCTGACGCTTGTGAAGCGCTCGTCTTTTTCCCTCGCGCCCATGCTGGCAAGTGTGTTGCTCGCACGCTCTTCCCCTTAGGCCACGTTTCGCTGCACGAGCTTTCCCACTGCAGGTCGGCTCGCGCAGCGTCGCCTGGCGACACATGGCGACCTCGTGGCTCGCAGGTTCGTGGCAGCCGCGCTGCAGCAGTCCTGAGGTCGCGCCGTTTTCCTTCCCCTCCCTCCCCCCGAAGAGGAGTTCTGGCTCCGCCCCGGACCCAGACATCCGACGTCGCGATTTTTTCGAGACACGGGAACCCGACCTCCCGACCACTTCCCCAGGACCGGTTTTTCATCCCGAGTCGTGCCTTGACGGTCCCGAGGCCCAGCGAGGGCCCCGAGGGGCCGAAAGCGACGAGAAACCTCTGTGTCGATTTTTTCTCGAGACGCCCGTCGTCCAGGAATGCTGACCCCTGGGCGCCCCCCCCCCAGAGGTCCCCCAGAGGCCTCAGGCCCTTGGCGGCCCCCAGGGGGCCAAGTCCGAAGACCTGCCCACGGACGCCCGAGCAGCGGGGCAGCGCCGCGCACCCCAGAATCTGGCACAGGCTGGGCCGCCCTCCTCCTCCTCCTCCTCCTCCTCCTCCTCCTCCTCCTCCTCCTCCTCCTCCTCCTCCTCCTCTTCCTCCATCCTCCATCCTCCATCCTCCATCCTCCTCCTCCTCCTCCTCCTCCTCCTCCTCCTCCTCCCTCCCTCCCTCCCTCCCTCATCCTCATCCTCCTCCTCCTCCTCCTCTCCCTCGCTCCTCCTCCCTCCTCAAACTCGCTCCTCCTCCATCCTCATCCTCATCCTCCTCCTCCTCCTCCTCTCCTCCTCCGACTCCTCACTCTTCCTCCTCCTCCTCTCGCCCTCCTCCTCCTCCTCCTCCTCCGCCTCCTCCTCCTCCTCCTCCTCCTTCCCCTCCTCCATCCGCCTCCTCCTCCTCCGCCTCCGTCCTCCTCCTCCTCCTCCTCCTCCTCCTCCTCCTCCATGCCATCCTCCTCCTCCTCCTCCTGCTCCTCCTCCTCCTCCTCCTCCTCCTCCCCTCTTCCTCCTCCTCCTCCTCCTCCTCCTCCTCCTCCTCCATCCTCCTCCTCCTCCTCCTCTCCTCCTCCTCCTCCCCTCCTCCTCCTCCATCCTCCTCCTCCTCCTCCGCCCCTCCTCCTCCTCCTCCTCCTCCTCCTCCTCCTCCTCCTCCTCCTCCTCCTCCTCCTCCTCCGCCTCCGCCTTCTCCTCCGTCACCGCTTTTCGCGTGCTCGCGCCCATCCTCGGGGCCTCCCAGATGGGGTCCGAGTGGATGGAGTCGGAGGCTCGCGCCGGATCGCCGATGCATCCGCGATGCGGCTGGATGTGGAGCCCGTGTATCCCCACGCCGACGTCGCCGATGCATCCTCGATGCATCGCCGATGCCGAGGGATGCGGCGCGACCCTCCGACCCCAGCTGCTCCCGACCCCATCCGGGAGGCCTCCACGTCCTCCTCGCGGCCTTTTTTCGAGCCATCCGAGCCCGGCCCGGGCGATGGTTCCACCTGCTCGGTTGACTGGGAGGTGAAGATCGGCCTTGGCGCCAGCTTCCGCGGCCGGGCACCGTCCCGTGCTGGCATGATGCAGGCTCCACGGCTTTCACTCGTGTCCACGAAGACCCCCCAGGAGCTGCCCCTTCAGATTTGTACTGCAGGCAGCCTGGCGCTTGAACCAAAAATGCGTGCTGGTGCGATTTAGGATGGTCAGGCCGCAACAGCCAGGTGAATTCGCGGCGATTGTCATGACGCAGCGGTCCTGTTCATTCGCGGCGTCGAAGCACCAGGAACGGTGTTTTGGCAAGAACAAAGAATTCCAGATAGCTTCGGACATGAAGGGGTGCCCGAATTTCATACAAGGTAGAATGGTAGAGTATTGTTGGAATCGCTGGCTGCTTTTCCCCTGCCGAGGCATCTCAACGTTTGGAGTCTGGGATGGTGACACCCTCCCTTATTTGAAAAATCTCGGGACGTCTGTCTTTCAGAAGGGGCTAATTCATGCAGGGAGGATTGATTGATTCCGACATCGTTGACGCGTCTTGGGTTTACACTGGTCCTCCTCTTCCTCCGATATCCCCGCTCTTGCTCCTCCGCATTATCCTGCTTTCTTGACGTGTTCCATCGACCCTTCTCCTCATAGCTCCTCCGTACCGCACCACCAGACGCGTTGGTAGGACGGCCCTGCCGATGCGCATGAGATCTCAGCAGTAACGATCCTGATGTTTTACAAAGCTCTCAAGAGTTACACGGATGCACGGGCCAGAGAGTCATTCCGAAGAGATCTGTTCGAATTCTCAGAATGTGCATGGATGGCATCTCCTGTCCAACTTACGACCCGAAGTACGAAGGTGCGCCACACCGTATATACATACATGTACATACATACATATCTACATACGTAAAAACCATACATGCATGCATGCATGCATATATATATATATAATATATATAATATCTATTATAATATATCTTATATATTATATATATATATATAATATATATCATATATATATAGGGTACCCCCCCCCCCCCCAAGGACCCTGCAAGGTTTCTCGTCGTTCCATTTTTTCGTGTGCACCGCTGTCGAGATTGAACCTAGTCAGCGCTAGCGCCCACACTGTACAATGGGAGCTGCATGCCGCATCATCGAAAACAATCGGAAGCGAAACGGCGCGTGCGACTCGTCGCGGGCAGGGGCAAGGTAGAATTCATGTCGCGCTAGCACTCGCACTGCACAAGGGTGCCCGCGCGATACACGATGGGAGCGTCAGTTGAACCGAAACGGCATATACGATCCGCCGTGGTTATCGGCAAGCGCTTCCATCGCCACTGCCATCGAACTTCCTGAGTTGACATAGTGGGCATACTCAGCAAGGTCGGGCAGTGGCATCATCGGCTCTTCCGCACAAGGTGCACCGTGCTGATCTGCAGCGCCAACTGCATCGCTGGCCACTGCGTTGAGCACGGGCATCTTGCTATAGCGAGCCCGCAACCACATCTTCATGCGAGAGCTCTCACTCTCAATGTCGTTGCTGTGGAAGCCCGTGGATCGATCCCGCCACCCTGTGCAATGGTCCACAGGCGGAGCGTAGCGCGGTTGTCTGGAACCGACCTCTCGTTGATATGACATGGTAAAAACACTGTAAAATCCAATGTTTCCAATGTTTCCAATTCTCTGGGTACGAACCCTCGCTGATGCGGCAGATGGGAATGTTCCAACACTCGAACCCTCGTTGGTGCGGCAGAGAGAAAACGCTGCAAAATCCAATTTTCCAATTTTCCCAATTCTCACGCGCCGAACCTCGCTGGTGCGGCGGCGGAAAACATTGCAAAATCCATTTTTTCCAAAGTTTCCAATTCTGGGGAAAAAAAAAAAAAAAAAAAAAAAAAAAAAAAAAAAAAAAAAAAAAAAAAAAAACAAACAAAAAAAAAAAAAAAAAAAAAAAAACGGATTCACCGTGTTTTCTTTCTGTCGTATTTGCGAGGGTTCGGCGCCTGAGAATCGGAAAATTGGCCAATCCAGAACCGACACCGTTGGGAGGAGGAGGAAGAGGAGGAGGAGGAGGACTAGGAGTACGAGTAGTAGTAGTAGTAGTAGTAGTAGTAGTAGTAGTAGTAGGAGAAGAAGGAGAAGAAGGAGAAGAAGGAGAAGAAGGAGTAGTAGTAGTAGTAGGAGAAGAAGGAGTAGTAGTAGTAGTAGTAGTAGTAGTAGTAGTAGTAGTAGTAGTAGTAGTAGTAGTAGTAGTAGTAGCAGCAGTAGTAGTAGTAGTAGTAGTAGAAGAAGAAGGAGTAGTAGAAGTAGTAGTAGTAGTAGTAGTAGTAGTCGTAGTCGTAGTCGTAGTCGTAGTCGTAGCGTAGTAGTAGTAATTTGTAGTAGTAGTAATTAGTAGTAGCAGTAGTAGTAGTAGTAGTAGTAGTAGTAGTAGTAGTAGTAGTAGTAGTAGTAGTAGTAGTAGTAATAGTAGTAGTAGTAGTAGTAGTAGTAGTAGTAGTAGTAGTAGTAGTAGTGCGCCAAACCCTCGCAGGTACGGCAGAAAGAAAACATTCTGAAATCCAATTTTCCATTTTTTCTATTCTCTCAGACTGAATCCTCATCGATGTTGCAAGCGGTTCAGCGCCACAGAATTGGAAAATTTGGAAAAATTGGATTTTGCAATGTTTTCCTCCGCCGCACCAGCGAGGTTCGGCGCCTGAGAATTGTAAAAATTGGAAAAATTGGATTTGAGTGTTTTCTTGTTGCCGCACCCACGAGGGTTCGAG